CGTACGTACGTACGTACGTCGTCGTACGTCGTCTCTCTCTCTCTCTCTCTCTCTCTCTCTCTCTCTCTCTCTCTCTCTCTCTCTCTCTCTCTCTCTCTCTTTCTCTCATTGGAAATATAATCGAGATGAAAAGATGAAACTTGCATCTCGCGCAATACAGGTTCATTCGATTTCGCTCGTTAAACAATTTTAATATATTCGACACAGATGGAAAAAAGTATCTCTTTCGAATCTTTCGTAAGATTTGAAAGTGTTGTAATTCAATCGTGTAGTTTTCTCTTGCGCTTTAACTCGACATTGACTGGAAAGAGCAAAAACGCTAACCGACTTTTATCCTTACTTTCAATCGTCGTAAAGTCTCGCGGAACGCGGAAGGAAGAGTATAATACGATTTCTCACTAAAAGAAAAGCGAGGGGAGAGGTTCGATCAAGCCCGAAACGTACATGAGCGTAATCGCGGTGAGTGGTGCGTCGTATAAAAGCGTATAAAAGCAAGTGCGAATCTAAATATAAAAAAAATCAGGTGTGGACAGTTTTGAGCGTGTGACGCCGCCGTGGTTACGTAACGAACCGTTGATTATCGGGTATAAATAGGCGTTTCCTTACATAATTAAGCTTCGTTCCCGCGCCACGAAAACGAAAGCCCGCATTGCTGAAAATCAGCTGACGCTTGATCAACGAGAGAGAGATACGGGGAAGGGCTCGGTGTGCGCGCCGATCCGCTATGTGTTTGTAGAGATGAAAATTACTATTCACGCGTTATTCCTACTTTTTTTTTTTACAAAACTTCTCTTCCAAAATACCCCCATTTAATCTTTCACATATTTCACATTAGCTTTTTTTTCGTCTTTCGATGGGTCGCGTTTGAAGATGTTTGAAGGTGTGTGACTACCTTTTTATCTTTCTTTCAGATTGAGAATTTCGACGGTATTCTGTAAGAATCGTCCTCTTATCTTTCCTCTTTTTTGTTGCGAATAAGTGAGAGATAATTTCTCGTCTTTTTGAGAAATTATTTATACACGTGGTGGTACTCTATGTTTTATTTTTTTCGGCAGTGAAAAAAGAGAAAATGTTTGGGAGAAGAAATGAGATTCTCGATTCTGCTGGATAACCGGAGGAAAGGATTACGTAATTTTTCGGGATCCAGCTCACAGATAATTGAACAGATTAGTTTCGATGAAAGAAGAGATATCCGTTCTATTTGATGAGAAACGTGAATCCACGATGCACAATTCGACGGATGAATCACAGGCTCGACGAGTTTCCGCGAAAAGCGCCGGGATCGCGAACTTTCCAAACAAAACACTCGTGTTTACGTCTGTTTGGGGGCGATCGGAAAAACGTAGATGGATGCACGCGAGTCGCACGTGTTCTCTCATCTTTTCGACCTCTCCCTCCTTCGATTCCCTCTTCTTCGTCGGATCAAAGGAACGGAAAAAAGATTGTTGATTCGTATCGTCGATATAATTTTCTAGAAAGAAGAACTGTTCGTCACGCGAGGAAAAAAAAAAAAAAGAAAGAATTTGGAAAAGAAATCGAAGAGCCGAACTATCGGAAGAAAGTTCCAAAAAGAAGAAGAAGAGATAAACGACGACTCGAGAAGCACAACTTCATTTTTCAACTTCCAAAACAACTTCGAATCCACTATCCATCCATCCACTGCCAACAGGCAAACACCACTCCAACAAAAACTCACCGAACGATCGCACCAAAAGAACCCTTTACAAGTCTTTACGTAGAAGCGTAAAAGCGTAGAACTTTACCGACCAAAAAAGCATCAGGCTTGCACAGCGCGGGGCCCCAAGCAGCGTCCTCCCTCCCCCCAAGAAAAAGCGGATCAACTCGAGACTCGAAATCTCTACAATTTCGAAGCACTGTTTACCCCTTAACTTAGCTCGATGTTTGGCAACAAAAAGAAAAGAAAAGAAAAAAAAAAAAACCAAAACATAAACTTCTAAAAAAAAAAAAAAAATAGAAATAACTCGATTTGCTTGCGTCGAAGGCACACCTGTCCTACGGAAGGGGCCTGCAGGTAAGTCGAGACATCCGGTTCCACCATGCAGCTCCTCAGTGTATCCGGGATGAACATGAGTAGCTGGGACGTCGGCTGCGGTACAGGCTGAAGCCGGCTGCGCTCCTCCAGCGAGCCTGTGCTCGCCAGTAGCGTCGTCCCGACGCCGCGCGACGCCGACGAACGCCGCCGTGGGACGGTGCTCCAGCTGGTCGGCCGCCCGCTCTCCGGCGGATAATAATACGTGGTACGGGCCTGCTTCCCTCTTCCCCGGCTACACAACAATCGTATTCCACTCTCCGCCGAGCCGGGCAGGAGCAACGGGCAACGTGTTATCCCGAACAGTCCAAAATATCCTCTTCGAAGGAAGGTTGGAGGAAGCAGGGGCGAAGAACGGTTGTCTCTCCCTCGATCTCCCGGCCGGGAATCGGCTGGAACGAGCCGTGTCCGCGTTCAGACACCCGGCACCGTGGTGCTCGAGGCAACCACCAGCCGTTTCTTTCAATCTCCGTTGATCGCGCGCGATCAAGCGACAGCTACTAACCGTGCGACACACGTTATCTTCTAACGAAGGACCGATGTTTTCGTTGTTATTGTTATTATTATTATTATTGTTGTTGTTGTTGTTGTTGTCGCAGCGGTTGCAGTTCGCGTTGTCGCTTGTTGTCTGGCTGTTGTCGCTGAACCGTCGGCTGTCGGGTGGTGGTGGAACACCGCACCCAGGCACACGCATCCTATCTAACCACGCGAGCCACAACTCCTAACTCTCGACTTTAGGCCCTCTCTGTATACTCTCTCGTGGCACGCAAGACACGGGGCTCGCTAGTCCTGTCTCGCTCGCTCTCGCTCTCCCTCGAGAGCTGTCCTTCTATCCCTCTATCCCCCCCTTCCGCCCGTTCCCCCCACCCGCCCACTCTCCTCTTATCCTCCTCACTCGTTCGCCTCCGCGATATCCTCTCCCTTCCCTCCTTCGATCTCTCTCTCTTCCTTCGCGAGGCCTCGTCTTTCTTTCTTTCTTCTTTCTTCTTTCTTCCTTCCTTCCTTCGTTCACTCCTCTCGCTTCTTTCCCGCCCCTACTCCTCTTCGCTTTCCCTACCTTCTCGCGCCGCTCTCCCCCCCCCCTCCCCCCTTCCCCCGCCGTTCGCGAGCAGGCCGGCTAACCCTTACGGAACGTCTCTCTATCTCTCTCTCCTCCGATTCCTCTCTTATTCCACCTCCCTCGAGGGGTTGCGAATTTGATTCTACGATATATACTTCCGTAACGATCCAGCTTTATATATATATATATATATATATACGTGTGTGTGTGTGTATGTATATATATATATATATATATATATNT